TTGATTCTGGAGCCACTCGCCATGTTTGTGCTGTTAGAGAAGCTTTTGCTACTTATGCTCCTGTTGGACCCGATGAGACGCTTTCTATGGGAAATGCTGCAAAGGCCAAGATTGAAGGATGTGGGAAGATATTTCTCAAAATGACTTCCGGCAAAGTGGTGACTTTGAACAACGTCCTTCACGTTCCCGAGATTAGGAAAAATTTAGTCTCTGTTGGACTTCTTGTTAAGAATGGTTTCAAATGTGTTTTTGCTTCTGATAAGGTTGTAATAAGTAAGAACGAAATGTTTGTAGGAAAAAGTTACCTCACTGAGGGCCTTATTAAGCTGAATGTAATGGTTGTTGAAAATAATAATAAAATTTCAGCTTCGTCTTACTTACTTGAGTCAAATGAATTATGGCATATACGTTTGGGTCATGTTAATTATAAAACCTTGCGGAAAATGATTAATTTGGAAGTATTGCCTAAATTTGAATGCGACAAATCAAAATGTCAAATATGTGTGGAATCTAAGTATGTTAAACATCCTTATAAGTCAGTTGAAAGAGAATTCCAGATTGACTGATATGAAGTCAATACCATCTCGCGTAGACTATTGACGATAGTACTCGATATTGCTATATTTACTTACTTAATAGTAAAGATGAAGCAATAGACGCATTCAAGCAATACAAAAATGAAGTTGAAATGCAACTTAACAAGAAAATCAAAATGATAAGAAGTGATAGGGGTGGTGAATATGAATCTCCTTTTGAACAAATATATTTAGAATATGGAATTATTCATCAAACAACGGCCCCTTACACGCCCCAATCCAATGGGATTGCAGAAAGAAAGAATCGTTCATTAAAGGAGATGATGAACGCATTATTGATAAGTTCTGGTTTGCCACAGAACTTGTGGGGGGAAGTCGTTCTTACGGCTAGCCGAATACAAATCGAGTACCCCATAGCAAAACACAATCCATTCCATATGAAAAATGGAAAGGAAGGAAGCCCAACTTGAATTATTTTAAAGTGTGGGGGTGTTTGGCAAAAGTGCAAGTTCCTAAACCCAAAAGGATAAAATTAGGACCGAAAACCGTTGATTGTGTTTTCATAGGATATGCGACTAATAGTAAAGCATATCGATTTCTGGTTCATAAATCAGAAAATCCCAACATTCATAATAATACGGTTATAGAATCAGATAATGCTAAGTTCTTTGAAAATATATATCCGTATAAAAAGGAATGTGAGTCGATTGGTGAAGGATCTAAATGACCTCGGGAAGAAACAAAAGAAAGTACACTTAACCAGGAGGATCCAAGACGTAGTAAACGTCAAAGAACGTCTACTTCATTTGGACCAGATTTTGTGACTTTCTTATTGGAAAAAGAGCCTCAAACATTTAAAGAAGCTATGTCTTCTTCGGAATCATTGTTTTGGAAAGAGGCAGTCAATAGTGAAATAGAATCCATACTGAACAACCATACATGGGAATTGGTTGATCTTCATCCTAGAAATAAACCGTTGGGTTCTAAATGGATCTTTAAGAGGAAAATAAAAGATGATGGCACTATTGACAAATTTAAGGCAAGACTTGTGGTCAAAGGGTATAGACAACGAGAAGGTCTTGACTATTTCGATACATACTCTCCAGTTATAAGAATTACGTCCATACGAACGTTAGTAGCGTTAGCTGCAGTTTATGGTCTTGAAATTCATCAAATGGATGTTAAGACAGCCTTCTTAAATGGAGAGTTGGAGGAAGAAATTTACATGGAACAACCTGAAGGGTTTGTGGTTCCAGGTAAAGAAAAGAAGGTATGTAGACTTGTTAAGTCCCTTTACGGACTAAAACAAGCACCCAAACAATGGCATGCGAAATTTGACCAAACAATGTTGTCAAATGGTTTTAAAATAAATGAATGTGATAAATGTGTGTACATTAAAAATGTTCCAAATCACATAGTCATTGTTTGCTTATATGTGGATGATATGCTGATAATGAGTAATGACATTGCCAACATAAATGCGACTAAGCGCATGCTAACTGGCAAGTTTGATATGAAAGACTTGGGAGTTGCTGATTTAATTCTGGGAATTAAGATCCATAAGACTTCTCAAGGTCTGGCATTGTCACAATCTCATTATATTAAGACAGTACTTGAAAAATTCAAGCACTTGGGCTTTAAAGTTGCAAAGACTCAAATTGACGTGAATCTTGCATTAGCAAAGAACAAAGGCCAAAGCATATCACAATTGGATTATGCTCGTGTGTTGGGTTGCTTAATGTACATCATGAATTGTACATGACCAGATATAGCTTGTGCTATAAGTAAATTGAGTCGATATACGAGAAATCCAGGTCAATCTCATTGGATGGCTATGAAACGAGTTTTGGGGTATTTAGTACATACCCAGGACTTTGCTTTGCACTACAGTAAATATCCTGCGGTCATTGAGGGATACTGTGATGCAAATTGGATCACCGGATCAACTGATTCCAAGTCCACAAGTGGATATGTATTCATTATTGGGGGAGGAGCGGTATCTTGGAAGTCGTCCAAACAAACTTGTATTGCCCGCTCTACACTGGAGGCTGAATTCATAGCCTTAGATAAAGCCGCTGAAGAAGCTGAATGGCTCCGGAATTTCTTGGAAGATATTCCATTTAGGCCCAAACCGTTGGCACCAATATGTATACATTGCGATAGTCAAGCGGCAATTAGAAGGGCTGGGAGCGTCATGTATAACGGTAAATCTCGTCATATACGACGAAGACATAAAATCGTTAGGCAATTACTCTCTAGAGGAATTATCACAATTGATTATGTACAGCCAAGTGATAATGTGTCGGATCCACTTACAAAAGGCCTAACTAGAGAGGTAGTTGAGAAATCATCAAGGGGAATGGGACTGTGGCCGAGAACAAGTCATAGTGGCGGTAACTCTACCTAGAAGACTGGAGATCCCAAGATCTAGCTTCAAGGAGATCAAACAAAGTCATTAATGACGGTTCAACATTGTCAACTAAACTTTTGGTCCATTCTCGTGATGAGACAATGTTCAGTACCAAGGATAAAACATTAAGGCTTTTTAATGGTTTCTAAATTTGATACGGGGTATATCAAATAGTGTATCTACGGGATAACACGTTTAGGAATCACCAATGTAAGTGTGAAGTGTTAGCCGCTTCAAGGAGAACTTTGTAAGGCCAGTTCTCTACGCACTTATGAAACCAGGCGGTGTTCATGGCTGAAACGAACACAACAATGAGAACCAAAGACGGTTAAGGGTTGGTTGTGTGACTTATGGTTGTCTAGGTATACACCAAAGTTCGACGGTTCAAAGATATCAAATCTACTGATTGATCGAGTATATCCGACATAAGTTCACTACGGAAAGTTCAAAGGGAACCTACTTATCCATATGCAATTAATCCTTGCTTGCGAATCACACAGTTTTTCATGCATGTTTCCGTGATATTGCCATTCCCCATTCATGTGGGGGATTGTTGGGGTTTTATGTATTTAAGTATATTAAATACTTAAAAGAGGGTGAATGGGAAATGGAGGGAAATGAAATTTTTGAGTGAAATTTTAAGTTTTCCCCCTTGGGAAAGGGACATTGTCCCATATTGGAAGAGGAAGAGGGTTTTTATGGGTATATAAGCAATTGCTCTTCTTCTAGCTCTTAAAGAGTTGAGAAGAAGGCAAGCCTCGCGCCATCGTCGTCGTTGCTCGCTCGGCTCGGCTTCGGCTTCGGCTTCGGCTTCGAATTCGGATTCGGATTTGGTCAAATGATCGATTGATTGATTAATTTTTTTGGACCAAGTTTATTTGTTAATAGTAAAATATTAACAGAAATGTTATTAAATAATTATTTTAATAACAGAATATTAATATTAAAATAAATATTAATATTAAATCCAATCTGCTTTTCTGTTTTGGTAACAGAAAATTAACTACCCTCTTCAATTTTCCCTCTTTATTGTTGAGTAAATAGCCATTTATGTTATGGCTTTTATGATGTGGCCGTAGCCGTTCTGAAGAATTGCACCTCTTCAGATTCCAGCCCAACTTTGGCTATAAATACAAGACTATTCTGCTCAGAATTTCAATACGATTTTCTGCGTTTCTCCTCCTTCTTCTGCATACTTTTAACATCAAACAAATCAACAGTAAGTGTCATTTGCTACCGAACTTTGTGTTCGCTGAAACACTGGGGGTTTGAAGTACCACTACACCAGTGTGTAATTCGTTCTATCCTGGGAGGAAATAATCCATAACCTTGGGTACTAGGAGGGGATTAAATTATTTAAGGAAACACTGTGAATTCAGTAGGCTCGAATTGATTTTTATCTCTTTACGTTTTCTGTTTATACATTATTCTGCTTTGTTTTTCCAGAATTAATTTACAAATACAGTTTACTAACAGTTTTGTCGTGTTTCGAGGTGCGGGCCTGGGTTTGGCTTTTTGGTTGACTTTGGGTAAATGTGTAAAAAATCAATCTTTATCAATTGGGTTTGCTTCCTATGACATTATTTGATGATTTTGAGTTGCTTTTGACTAGTTTCGAGTCGTTCGGATGATGATTTGAGCGGGATAACGCTTCTAGTGTATTGATTGGGCTTGTTTGAGGTAAGTATCTTGCCTAACTTTGCTCGTGGGAAACTACCCCTTAGGGCATGGGTTGATTGTGCTATTTATGTTATGTGAAAGTTGTGTACGCATGGTGACGAGTGGGTACACGGCTATATGTGGTATTTGATCGGTTTAGATTATTTAGACTCTTTTTATGCCTTTAATTGAATTGTAAATATCTCTTATATCTGGAGGTAAAAATTCCAAACCAAAACGTGATCATCTTACGAGGCCCAAGTCCATACTTTCTTGTGAAATATTTACACAATCCCCTATACGCCGACAATACTAATTAATCTATCTTAACTTATAAATTGACGTAACAATACGAATTAATTAGTTATGATTAATACCATGGGCGTATAAACAACAAATTTTATCATACTTCCACTCATCCCTCGCCATCTAATAAATCCCTTTCCTTAATCAAACTCTAATCATACCCCTCCCCCCACTTCCACTTTCACTCGCTCTTCTTCTGTTCATTCCTCTGATCCAGATCAGCTCCTTATATACGTTTTAAATACCTTTTTATTTCCAAGAATATCATCCGATTTTCACTGTATGTATAAAATTGCCAATTCCACATTGAGCCATGATGCTTTTCTTATGCAGATCTGGGTAGCATTTTTTAGAGCTAATACCTAGACACAGATCTAAGATTGGTTTCTTTATAATTCCCTTTTATACTATTGATTAAAGGGTCATGTAAAATTGCATTAGCACAGCAAACATATTTGTTTTTGTATTCCTTTATTTTTAGCTTCTCTTGTGGAATATTTTTTGTTTGTAAAGAACAATTGGGGTTTGTCAAAAATGGAAATTTCCAGTGGATTGAGTCCCAGAGTGAACTCTGTTACATCTGATGAAGGTAAAAATGCTGGCCCACATCCTCAAAATTTCGACTTGGAATTAACTGATACGGTTTCACACACAGATCACCATTTTCAGACACTGAATGCACTGGAGATTTTGAGGGAAACTGTGAGAATTTTGAGGTATAATTCTATAGGTTTCATGGCAATTGCTGCATTGCTAATCTGCCCTGTCTCTGCTGTTGTTTTATCTAATATATTGGTTAATCACTCCTTAGTTAAGAGACTGACCATAAGGTTGTTGCTCGTTGCCAAATCGAGCGGGCTTCCATTGAAGCCATTTATCAAACAGTCTTGTCAAAAGTTCTCTGAAGTTGTCATTTCAGCTGTAATGTGCTTCCCTTTGTATGTTACTTTATCGCTGTTGTCAAAAGCTGCAATAGTTTATTCAGTCGATTGCACTTACTCGAGGAAAAAATTTGATTCGCAAAAGTTTTATGTAATTATGACCAAGATTTGGAAACGGGTTGTTGTGACTTACCTGTGGGTGAGTACTGTGATTTCTGGATGCTTCACGTTGTTTATTGTACTTGTTGTATCCGTGAGCAGTGCTTTCTCGATCATGGGGTTCCCTCCTGACTTGATCTTGTACCCCGCGATGGTAGTAGGGATGATTTTCTCGATTATTTTAGCAAATGCTATTATTATCTGCAACATTGCGATTGTGATATCTGTTTTAGAGGATGAATCTGGACCACAAGCATTGCTTAGGTCTAGTTCACTGATCAAGGGGCAGACACAAGTTGGACTTCTAATATTTCTTGGATCGACTATTGGGATGGCGATTGTGGAGGGTTTGTTTGAGCATAGGGTGAAGACAATAAGCTATGGAGATGGATCTTCAAGATTATGGGAAGGGCCTCTTTTGGTACTATTGTACTCGTTTGTGATGCTTATCGACTCCATGATGAGTACAGTTTTCTACTTCAGCTGTAAGTCGTATAGAATGGAAACCTCAAGTGAAGAAAGTCAGCCTGTACTAGAAGCCTTAACAATTTCCTCAGCATTAGCAGAAGTCCAATAACATGTTTTGAAATTTGATTTTATGGCTCTTGAAGTTACTGGCAGTTGTTTCTGATACGGAGGAATTACTACGAGAAGCTTTGCTTCACATTCAATTTGTGCCTACTCTTGAAAAATAAGGAATGAGTTAAATTCCTCTTGGAGAAAGTTATCAGATGCTGAAGGCGGATAATTTATGTGGTTTAGCCTCGTTGACCACTTCATCACAAATAGCTTCTTTATGGATTTGTTGTCTGCTAAAGTATTACCATAGAAAATCATTTGAAAGATGGTAATTTTGGATTTTTACACAGTAGAAAACCTGTGCTGAGATTTGAAAAGTTCAAACTATGTACTTTTCGACATTCACAATTTGTAAAGATACCTTGAAGTTTTCTTTCTTTCTTTTTTGAAATAAAATCTATACCCTTGAAGTTTTCCTTCATGGATCTCTTGTCTGTCTCAGTTTGCATGTGATGCTGTGAGTGAAAATTAATGTGACTATTGGTGGTTAATTGGCCAGATTTTGAAAGCATAAAGTAACTATAAAAATAATAGATTGCAGTTCTTTAATAGGAATGTCTTGAGACTTCCCTAAAGCTCAATAATTGATGCTTTGGAATGGCTTTTATAAATGTTCTTCTTTGTTTAGCAAATGTCTCTTAATAATTGTTTCCCGGAAATACAGCCGCTTTCTGCTCTTCTATGTATGTGTGTGTGTGTGTGTGTGTGGGTGGGGGGTGGGGGGGTGGGGGGTGTGTGTCAGTTAGTCGCTTAGTTCA